AGCTGATGGTGGCATAGGAAACTTCAGGCTCCACCTACACAATGAAAAAAAAACAGCAGAACATGCTGTCACCTCACTAATATGTGTGATGCTGTGTCACGTAATAATAACAACTCTTCATCTGCTGAACACTTCAAAACTCTTTAACTACCTTCAAAGTCATATGAGGTGGCATATTGTGGTGACCTGCTCTACCTCCTGAGCTACAGGAGGTAGAGCAGGTCACCTGTTGATTGTAAGGTTGGTGGTTCGATCCCTGGCTCCTCCAGTCTGCATGCCAAGTATCTTTGGGCAAGATACTAACCCCAAGTTGCTCTCTGATGTATCCATCGGAGTATGAATGTGTAAGAATGTAGTTAGGAAGCACTCAGTTTAGAGAATGCATGGGTGTGAATGTGGTATGTTGTATAGAGCACTTTGAGTACTCTGGGAGAGTAAAAAAGCGCTATATAAGAATCAGTCCATGTAAACTGTCTCAAAATGTTATTTTTGCATTAAAACTGCTGTTCAGTGTTGAAACTGCTGTTCAGTTGCATCATCTTACTTCCTTATCCTTTCTATAGCTCCAATGTTTCTTATGCATTTATATTTAGAGAAAACATTAAAGACAAAGTGGTTTACACTTTGCTCTGGGTGTAGTGTGTGATCTCACCAAGTCCTGGATGGTTTGAGCAGCATATTGAGTCTCTGTGGGCTTCAAACTCAGTCCCTGAAAAAGAAGACATAGTCCAGTTACATCTGGAGGAAAACTGTCTCTGTGATGCTAGTTTAGCTCGAGGTTAAGGCACCTCAATGATAAGCTGACATATTGCTTATTTAATGTAAGTTGAACAAACACTTAATTATGTATATTAAAACTCACAGCATTTTCATACTTCTGTGTTTTGTTTCCTGAAAAGACAAAAATATTCACTGTAAAACTTCGCATTTGTCAAACCCTCTTGATCTATAAAGGTTTTATCTGTAAATGTTCTCACCCTTATTTTTCTTCCATCTGATGACAAACACAGCTGTTATTACCAATATAACCAAACCAACAGCTCCAGTGATGTACAATGAAAGAGCTGAAATAAAAAGTATATAAGGAAACATAAAAACATATTTGGATGAAAGTTCTTACAAATGTTTGAAAAACTTTTCATGCAGCTTAATTGCATACAAAATGCGGTTAAAGTGACATGCTATATATGCACAATAACTTGATGAGAGTTGATGAGAAAAACATGAACTGCATGAAGGTTTAAATTCAGACGTGACTTTATAGGCAGAAACTGTCCGACTACATAAATACATCTCCACTACATCACATCTCCAATGACTACAAAGATATTCAGAAGTGAATCAATCACTGAACTGCAAAAATCAATCATTTTCTGCTTCCTGTAAGATAAGAGGCTTATTTTGGATGTCTCTAATGTAATGGAACAAAATGGAAAATAAATATTTAAAAACAAAAGTTTAAAAGTCTTCTTAAAGCTCCAAACAAACAGATATTTTTGATGAATGTAGTCAGCTTAATCATCATAATCTAACCTGTTATGGAAGGACTACTTTTTGTTATTGTGGTTGTTTCTGGTGTTGTGTCGCTTTCAGATTTACTGTTCATTTTTGTTTTTGTTTTTGGGTCAACTGAATAAATGAAAAAATAGGGGGAAAACATGTTCAAAATTAGTTTCATAGTGTGCTTTATGTGTTTTATATAGAACAACATTTTTTCTGCTTAAAATGTTACATTTTTCTATCACATAAATATTTAAGGTGATTTTAGTCATTTTAAACATTTGATCAGGATCTCACCTGTTTCCTCACCTGAGGGCTGTGAGCTAAACACCTGTACTCTTCCTGATTTAGTATCAGTCACCTCACACTTGAGTATTTCATCCCTTGATGAGTATAAATAATTATTCTTCAGAACAGACACAGTAGTGGAGCAGTGAGTCTGTGAAATCACTATTTCTTTGTTCTCTTTGTCCACATCTCGACCTGTAAGCAGCCACTTCACTGTGTGATGACACTGTTCATTTCTCACCACAGAGCAGCTTAATGTCACCTTCTCAGTGTCCTTATGTTCAGTCACTGGCAACGATGGAGACAAAGACAGCTCAAATTAGTCAAGTTATCTTAATAACTATGATTGTTGTCATGTTTGAGAACAGTATGAAAATATTTTGATGTAAATACTCACAGGTAATAACAGAGAGATCAACCAACGACTGATGAACCAGAGTGTCCTCATCTCGTGTTTGTCCTAGTTTGTATTGTTGACAGGAATAAAGACCAACATCCTCGACTGTGAGTTTCTTTATAAGCAGAGAACAGTTCGCTGTAACACTCAGTCTGTCTGATTTAGTTTTGACTTTTTCACTAATCTGTCCAAGTGTGATCAGCTCTACTGTTGTTTTGTTTCTTGAAGTAAAGATCCACGTAGTCCCATCACAGTTATTCTGCTCATCTATCACATTTAGACAAAGCAGAGTGACGTCATCTCCAACTTTCATAAAAATGGATGTTTCATTTACAGATACTGTTGAGAAGATTAAAGAGAAATGTGAAAAATAAATTAGAATAAAGAATTTTTTACAGTCAGACTGAAGATCATTTGAGATACATTTCTAAATAGAGCATGCTCAGCTGTCTTGTTTACTGTAAAATTAGTGTTGGCAATAATACTGATAACATTTATTTTAACTGCTATTAAAATGTTTCCTGTATTCTTACCTGCGATCTGAATCATCAGCATCCGACATAAAAACATTTGAATCCATCTGAATTCACCCATCGTGCTTCTCTGTCTCACTTCTTTCTTGTTCTCACTCTCGACTGTCACACCCTCTGAACTGATGAGTACTTAAAACTTTTGTACTTCCTGTCAGTAGCGAGATTTCACTTCCTCAGCAAAATGTCTTTAGTTCTCTTTTTTCCTGAAGTCTACATTTCATAAATGAGTATCTCACTCTTTGTATGAAATTCATGGTGTAATTTTTTTTATACAAAGTGATGTTATATTTATATTTAGCAGATGCTCATTGTGTCCATTCCCACAGTGTATTTATAATAATGATGTGTATGGCACATCATTGTTATAAAGATTTTTTGGTGAAGGTGAGAAATGTATTTCTTCAACAGTTAAAAGGTCAAACTCCTTAAACCCAATAAAATTTGACTTTTGATGTCTGAGAGATTATTTTAGTTTATAAAACAGAGCAGATAAGATGATTTAGTCAACTGAAATCTTCCTGTTCCTTGTTCTTAATCTTAAGTAATTGCTTCCTGATGAAGTCAAGAGGAAGTGTTTTCTTCAAAAAGTGGCGGCAACAACATTATCAGAGCTCTTCAGGTTTGACTCTATAATAACAACTAGATAAACAAAAGAAACATAAATTGTTCAAATACAGAGGAGATGTGACTAAATTATTAAATTATTATTTCTAACAGAATTAAGGTTGAGCTGTATATGTGCTCATTTTATTGTGTTTTTTTTATTGTGTTTGAGTGTTTGTTTTTTAGCTTCTGAACTTTACTGAGCTCTGATGGGTTTAATTTACATCATTGCTTGTTTTTGTGAGGTTTGTGAGAGGTTTACTGAGATGTTTTTGTTCTGTCTGAAAATAAATCAAGTTAATTTGCATAGTAAAGTATCATAGTCAATAATAAAGAGAATAATGATGCAGACTTGACGGGAGAAGGGAGTGAAAGATGGATTCATGCAGCGGCTGCAGTGATACGTATACTGTACTCGTCCGTCGTGGTGAAGAGAGAGCTGAGTGTAAAAGCGAAGCTGTCAATTTACGGGTCAATCTACGTCCTAACCCTCACCTATGGACCACGAGCTGTGGGTAGTGACCAAAAGAACAAGATCACGGATACAAGAGACGGAAATTATCTTCCTCTGAAGGGTGGCTGGCATCTCCCTTAGAGATAGGGTGAGGAGTTCGTCCGGGAGGGGCTCAGAGTAGAGCTGCAGCTCCTCCACATTGAAAGGAGACAGTAGAGGTGGTTTGGGCACTTGAAAAGGATGACTCCTGGCTGAGGAGCTCTGGGCATGTCCCACCGGGAGGAGGCCGAAGGGGCAGACCCAAGACACGCTGGAGAGATTGCATCTCTCTGAACAAGCTGGAGGAGGTGGCCCAGGAGAGGGAGGTCTGAGCATCTCTGCTTAGGCTGTTACACAACCCTGCCCTGAATAAGCAGAAGAAGATGTATGTATGGATGGACTTCATTCAAAAGTGGTTAGAAAACATTTTATGAAATTCACTTTCAGCGTTTTAATATGAAATAAGATTAGATAACACCTAAATACACACATTAAAAGTAAAGCTTGAAACAGAAAAACAACCAACCAATATTAAAATGATCTCATTTTATATCTAAAAGATTTTTTGTATAAAACCAGAAAGGATGAAATACTGTTGATATGCTGCTGTTGTTGATCAGTGGAGTCTGAGAGAATCAGGAAATTTTGCAACGTTTACAGTTTATTGCTTTTAGTTTATTGCAGCATCATTTTTATCTTTATCATAATGTAACATCACTCATCAGATTTAAGAAATAACTTGTTATTGTTCTAAATATTTATTGATGGTTTCTTTTATTAATTTTCTTTTTTCCTTTGTTTTTCTTTTTGACACTGCATGCATTTGTCTGAAGGTTAGTTTCTTATGTGTCTTTATGTTTTATTTGTTTGTTTGTTTGTTTCCTTTGCTCTGTTGTCCATATTGTAGTGAGCTCTGCTGCTGTTGTAACCGCAGTTTGATGAAAATACGTTCTCTGGATGATGACTTTCTAACATATGAAAGGGAAAATCAATCAGCATTCCTGTAAGAAAAAAACTAAAGGCCATGTTCTTTTATTTAACTTTGGACACATTATAAATGCTTTGCTTCTGGAAACGAATCTAAAATGGGAAGCTTGTTTAGAATCACAGTTTGGTGCTTCACTACTAAGTATCTGATTGTCGCCCCTGGTGCTTCGGCGGCTGAGTGCACCCATTTCTTGTGCTACGGGATGTGGAGCGTCTCGGCTCTGGCAAAACTGAGCAACTTCTTCCTTCATTTCCTGGAAGGAGGAGCCATACACGAAGCAGCAGAAACCCGCCGGCTACAGAGGGCTGCTAGCGGGCAAACGGCACCGTGATTCCGACCGTTAATTGGGAGTTAAGAGCCTAACTCGGATGCCTCTATGATCCAGCTAACCGTACAGCGAGATATACAGAGTTCAGTTTGCACAAGGTAAGGCGTTTGGGGGCACTAAATTAGCTAGCGTGAGGTTAGCTAACCGTGGGTAGGTGTCACGGTCACGTACACCAAACCCCATTCAAAAATCTGTCAATTTAAGGTTCGCCCTAGTCTGTTAACCCCACCATGAAGCTCATCTATAACGAGTTAGTTTAGTCGGCAGCGAGATATATTTCGATGCCGACTGATTGAAAATTTGAGAATTTGCTCTGCAGTCGAAATAAACCCTGTTTGTTTGTTTTTTTGTTTGTTTTTTTTTACTAAAAAAAAGTGCAATCAAAATGAAAAGTCTAGTGGAAATTCTCCTAATTTTAAATTTGATTTTACCATTTAAATGTACTATAGATGGAGGCTGGTCTATCTCCATGTCCAATGCACATTGCCAGCTTTATGGTTGATTAATGCATATTTTTGGTGCATTTATTAATGAAATTATTTTCCATAAATTAAATGAATTTAGTGGTAGAATGATCTCCATAGAAGCAAGGCTAACTATTTGTCATCGCCACAGTGAGGAGGACGACAGGTTTATTTTTAGTTGATTAAGAAAGATGGAGACAAAATTAATGGCAGAATAAACCAAATAAAACAAGGTATCACGGATTTATGAATGGCGGGGTGTAAAATAGAAAGTAGTTCCCCATGTGCTGGGAGATTAGCAAAAGGGATTAGCGCTGCACAAGGACAAACAGACGACAACCACGCACCACTCCTTCCTTCATTACACCCTCATCTTTATCCTAACATGCCACAAAACCCATTTCTCTCAGGGGGCTGCCTGCTGTGGGTTTAAATTATGGTGGTGTAATAGTATTTAGGTTATTTTGACTACACATACATGAAAAATCAGAATCCGACAAAATTCAGGTTGTTTAGATTCAGAATTGATCTAATGACCCAATTAGGAAAAAATACCATTTTCCTCTGCACTTACTCTCTCGAGAAGACCCTGCTTCTGCAGCCTACCTGTGAGACGGTTTGGTCATTTCAGGTTTGACCTTCTGAAATGTGAGGATTTTCTGGTTTTCTCTGTTGCTGTAAAATAGAATAAGCTTGGTAAGACTGAGTAAATTGAAGATCTGGGTTAAATCCCTGCCCACGTGTGTCTGTTATGTGTAATCGTGTAAAGTAAGAACAACAACAAAAGAAACCGATCATCTACATGCATTTATTTTTTGGCATTTTATCAGAATTGAAAAAAAGAATAATGTTGTATTCATCTATAAATATTGGGAAGTACACAGATACAGGCAAGAATGGGGAAATAATTTTAGGTTTCCGTTAGATATTTGATTGTCTGTGCAGTTAAAGTAATTTAAAGACCTAGAATAGGTCCCACTCGTTTAAGATCTACGTTGTGTACATATAGATTGTTGTGCCCTGCATTCAACATCACAGGAACACCTTACATAATCTCTCACTAAGGGAATACTGATATTATTCCCTGTCTTGCTTCATCACCTCAAATGTGAGGGTTATCTGGTTTTCTCCAATGTTGTAAACTAACTATTGGACGAGGCTTAGCTCTTGTCTTATTTATTAGTGTGGATACTGATTAAGCATCCACAGTATTAAGATCCTAATCTTTCTTATTATATTTCTCTTTGTAATATAAATATTCTCTATATTTGATTAGAAAGCTGTATTCTTCCTGCCCTTAACCTCTACAGGTTTGTTTAAATATGTAAGTCAAGGCCCTGGATTAGACCTCTACTTATTCTCTTTAGACTAAGAAGATTTGAGTTTGTATTTTGATGACAACAGCAAGATGACTGAGTTTTGACATATGAATGAGAAGAAAATTTCTTTTGTCATACAGAAGTACCATTAGATGGATTCATAAATGAACAATAATCTCAATGATTGAGCTGCTAACTTAAACAGTATCTCATGCATTGATGTTAAATACTCTGAGGTGCACAGTAACGCTCATGGTAGTGCTGGCTGTTGTCCTGTTTCTGTGAGCTGTACAGCTGTTCTTTCTTCCCCATAGTAGAAGCTTGGATGCATTCGACCATACATAAAGACAGCTGCTCGTTTGTAGCAGCAGTTGATGTTTGAGGCTGGATTACCAACCAAGCAAATACCCTGAGGCCTTAAAGGTTTACTATATATCACTTAATTTAATTTGACATATTTTATCTACTTTAATAGCCATCATATGATCTTAAAGGAGAGGACTGGCTCAGTTGTTTTAAGTAGAGCAGGGCGATATGGCCAAAAATATTTATCACGATATATATTTGAAAATTTGCGATAACGATATATCTGACGATATAATGGATGCGAGACAAAATACAACTCCACAACATTACTAGCGCAAAAAGACAACCTTCCATTTATTTTCACTTAAACAAGAAGCTGGTTTTTATGTACATTAAAGCTTTATAAAAATGTAACAGTGCAAATGCAAATTCCTTGCTGAAAGTTTAACCAAAAGGCATTTCCAGTAGAAATGGGCTGACATATCCTGAGCATAACCATGTATAATATCCACTGAAGTTAAAAAGAGGTGCTTTGCAACATTAAACTGCAGTGTGCAGTACGTATGTTTCGGACCATAAGGTGCACGGGATTATAAGGCACATTAAGCGAAACAAAGCAGTCAGATAAATCAAACTTTATTAAACTCATTCTTCTTGCTTCCTCCACTTCTGTACCATTGATTCATTAATGTTGAATTCTCTGGCAGCTGCTCTATTCCCATGTTGTTGCAGTATATTAATGACTAACCTCGTATTGTGGATGGATTATCTCAGTTGTTCTCCTGACTGAAGTTTGGTCCGTTTACAGCATCCTGCCATGCGATTGCATTTGTCTCTAACCATGAGGAAGCTTCACGTTAACTTTTATAAGTGGAAAAAAGTTAGCGTTCATCCTCCAGCTTCACTGTTTATGTTATGTTATGCTAACATAGCTGTGTCGCTAGCGATCACGTAGCACATCATTATATACCAGCTAGCCCAACTTCAGTAACCCTACAAACGTCACTGCTGTTTAGTTTCCTGTCTTCATTTATGTTGGAAGTGATAGCAGAGCTGTACGTTTGAATTTTTTCAGAAATCTCTCAGTCAGAACATGCTATATCATGCTTAGGTAACTAGCGAAACTAGCGAGCTAACTTCCGCTAGCTTCCTGCTAACTTCTAACTCCGTTAAATGTAATAACTTTTGTTTTCATGGATGCCTGGAAGTTAAACTTCATAGTTACACCTGGTAAAGCAGCAATGCTGATCGTTTTATTAAAGATGAAAGAATTTAGACAGTTTTTAACTCTCAGTGATGCTGCAGTGTTGTTTGACCTGAAGCATACAGAGTTTAGGACCCAGATTACTCCCAGATTTAAGAGCATCTTAGTCCGACAAATACGACAATAACAACGGCCGCTTGCATGTTCTGCAAAAAAATGTGCTTTGTTGTGTATCTGACGGACAAACACCAATCCAGTTCCACATCACTGAAGTTGCACCATTTTTACCAATTCTGGTTCATCTGTTTCACTAAACAATGGGCCATGTGCGTATGAAAACAAAGGCACTGCGCATGCGCGTTTTACTCCCATTCTATCGCGATATTTCATTTTCCTATCGTTGCCTAACATTATACCGGTATTACCGTGAATGGTATAATATGGCCCAGCCCTAGTTTTAAGGCAGCTTTAGTTGTTGTTGTTGTTGTTGTTTCTGTAGGTCAAGTAGTGAACACCCAAAAACTTGAAAATAATGGCAAACAACAATTATTTTAAGACTCAATGCCACTGTAGCGACGTGTGATTGAGATGTTGTTGCACAGTGTGCATATCCTGTATGTTCCTCTTTTCAAACTCTAATAATGGACATAATTGACAAAATTAACTTGATTTTATTTCAGAATAACCTGAAGCTACTGACTAAACCCGTTAGCTGAGGTTGAAGAATGAAAAAGCCAAAGATTGTTTCCTTAAGTATACAAAGTAACAGTGGTGTTGTCTGTCAGTTGCTCAGCTGGTTGGTTGAGAGAGTTTGACTTGGGAAAAACAGGGGCAGAAGCGATCAGACATGATTAAGGTCCTTTACAATGACCTTAAACACACTTGAGGGCAGTAGCTCTTTTGAATTTAGCTGATTTGTCAGTTGAATCAAAATGAAAGGCTCTGCAAATTTGAAAAGAAAAAGAAAAGTTTTCAAATTTGTTACAGACTTTAGGGTGAAGCATTTAGCTTGCTTTTGGGGCCACAATCTTCTCCATCAGCTTCCCACAACAAGATGGTCAAAGTTCAAGTTGCAATATAATAAGATGCAGTAGGCCCCAGTTGTAGACATACTGCATATAAAAGTATGCACCTTTTAAGAGCAGCTGCAGTACTGCATACCAGGAGTGTAACTGTTTATATTCAGTATTGTGTAATAATGAACTCTCTGTTACACTGAATTTCCAGCAGTGTGTCAGAGATCCGTTAAACTGTGTGGCAGGGCGACTGCTTCGATTACATAGTTATCATGTTACACACCTTTAAAAGCCACAGTTATTTTCAACAACAAAGACGTCTATTTTAAACCCAGCAGTGTTGCAGACTGTCTGAAGAGCTGCTGTCCTCACCGATCGAGGACTTTTTAGGGAGTTTTTGCTTGCAGTTCTCACATGATTCTCTTCACTTGTGGTTTTTGACAAACACTCCATTCTTAAGGAATAGAAAAGCTTAGTTCAGCTGGAGCAAAGCAGAAGTCAGATGCCTTTGTTCTTTACTAATAATAACGTTCAGAAAATGATCATTTAAGTACTCCTACATATGGATCTGTTCCTTATCTGTGCTCAAAAATATCACCAGTAGAAATGTGCTTGCAAGTACCCTTAAAATTGAATTATGTCAATTATCAGTTATATCAGTGGTGATAAGTACTGTTAAATATGGATTTTTCATAGCCTGCTTCTGTCTCTTTAAGTTGCTGTTTTAGGTACTGGTACATTTGTCAGTATTATTATAAATGTATATTTTATTAACTGCCTTTTGGCAGA